ACAATGGTTATCAATGTGAACTGCAAATCACAGGGTTGTGAGATGGAGTCCTGACTATACCATGGTACAATGGTTATCACTGTGAACTGCAAATCACAGGGTTGTGAGATGGATTCCTGACTATACCATGGTACAATGGTTATCACAGTGGACTGCTAATCACAGGGTTGTGAGATGGAGTCCTGACGATGCCATGGTACAATGGTTATCACTGTGAACTGCAAATCACAGGGTTGTGAGATGGAGTCCTGGCTATGCCATGGTACAATGGTTATCACTGTGGACTGCTAATCACAGGGTTGTGAGATGGAGTCCTGACTATGCCATGGTACAATGGTTATCACTGTGAACTGCAAATCACAGGGTTGTGAGATGGATTCCTGGCTATACCATGGTACAATGATTATCACTGTGAACTGGTAATCACAGGGTTGTGAGATGGAGTCCTGACTATGCCATGGTACAATGGTTATCACTGCATGTGGACTGCTAATCACAGGGTTGTGAGATGGAGTCCTGGCTATACCATGGTTATCACTGTGGACTGCTAATCACAGGGTTGTGAGATGGATTCCTGGCTATACCATGGTACAATGATTATCACTGTGAACTGGTAATCACAGGGTTGTGAGATGGAGTCCTGACTATGCCATGGTACAATGGTTATCACTGCATGTGGACTGCTAATCACAGGGTTGTGAGATGGAGTCCTGGCTATACCATGGTACAATGGTTATCACTGTGGACTGGCAACCACAAGGTTGTGTGATGGAGTCCTGGGTATACCATGATACAATGGTTATCACTCTGGATGCAAGTTTGACTGGCAACCAGGTTGTGACTTACATCATGGTGTTGCTTTGTCGGACAAGGAACATGGAACAATTGGCATATAAGTGCATGTACTAATATAGCTATCAAGGTTGTATTGCTCTCTGAAAAATTTAGGTTTCAATACTTACTGCATCATCTTCTTCTTCTTCCCTTGTTTTCTTCTTTGATTTTTCTTTCTTAGATTTCAGTGGTTTATCGTCATCTTCATCTGAAGATGATGCCGGTGATGATGACTCACTGGATATGTATTCTTTACTTTTGTAGTTAGTTCCAGTTCCAGCTCTCGACTTTGATGGACTTTTAGATGGGGACTTTGAAACAGGACTGCTCTTTGATTCACGTTTTGGACTGGAATCAGAAATCAGATTTAACTATTAATATACAGAGGTATTAAAGTTGTTTCTTAAAGGCATATCCTGTAATATAAATTTATGAGAAATTACTTTGCTTTGCTTGGATACCCTGCATAATCCAAATACTATTTTTTTTCCTCAAATGACTATTCTGATCTATTTTTATATAAAAAATCTCTAAACTAGGCAATATCATCAGTCCTTAAAGTGTCAGCGTGATGAAATTAGGGGATTTATGGAATATTTCTAATATGTGAAATTCCCTATGACTGAATGACTATATATGGAGATTGGAGTTGCCAAGGTAACATTTTACTTGCAATGATGTCATTGATGTAGAGAGCCCTCTAGCGACAATAATAATGACATAAGGGAACTAGATAATTGTTATGATTTGTTTTCGATATTCTCATGCATATACTGTAAAAAAAAGAAAGCTTAAAAAAAATTTAAAATTACTTCAAATCTCAAATTAGACTTTTAAACAAGAAGTCTAGCAACTAATATTTCATTACAATGTCGCCCAGTGTCATTTTTCAAATAGATTTGTTTTTATTTTATTCGTAACGAAATTATATTCTAAACAAAGTTTCGAATATAAACGAACACAACTGCATTGCGTAGTAGCAAACGATCAAAGTTGTGCAATCCCGTCATGCTGAGTTTCACAATTGTTGATTATTACTCAGTAGTGATTATAATGCACAAAAATTAAATTCGTTGAATTGTTATGAAATGCAAATAAAATTCAACTTAGTTTCATCGTAAGCAAATGATTCCGATCGCACATAAACGCTCGATGCGGTAGGGCATCTGCCAGGTCCTTTCTTGCATGAGTTGACCTAATAGGTCAAATCGCTAATCAACCAATCAAAATACTGGATGATGGCAACGTGTTCAAATTACCATAGCTCATTTAAATATGTTAATGTTATTGAAGAAACGCGGAAGAAATTTGCTGATGTTGTAGTACAATCTTTTGACTTGGATTTTGATAGGAAAATGGCATGATTTTTTTTTCAAATAAAAAAATTGTTGTTTTCAAAAGATAACTGAGCATTAGAAAAACAATTTAACATTGTTTACAGTGATAACAGCTCATTGTCGAAACGAAGCTTACCCATTCACGCTAGTCACAATAAACATACTCTTGAATAAAAACTTCATAGACTATTTTAGGCGTCAGGAAAGATTCAAATGTCCGAAAAATTATGCCGATATATTTAAAAAAAAAAAAAAATTAAAAAACTTCCGAAAAATTACCCTGGGCGATTTCTTGGTCCCATTTTATTTTTTTTTTAAACCCGAACTGCAGTTTAACTGCACTGGGTGAATTAACGGCAGAAGCCTAAACTGAATCATATTAGTGAATTACAGCAGAGCATTAAAGTATTACAATTCTTTGAAATTTGGTTGTTGCTATGGCAATTTCAATTGTTTTCAACTTGCTAAAACCATACGAAGTATCAAATTAATTAAGAAGAAATTTTTCAAGAAGAAGTCACAAATAGCACTTTTTTACAAAAAGGTGACAAAAATATTCGCCAAAAAATAGCGAATTGAAGACATCACCACGAAGTGAACAAATCTAACAGAAATTTACCTCAAGTACCAATATTGAGCTAGAAATCAGTTAAATTAGGCAAATTGGATAATTAAATATACCGTACAGGACCGTGGTAGCCCCCCCCCCACTTTTGCACAATTTTTATATTCGGGGTCACATTCGGCAAAGCGCCCACCCCTTCAAAATACCACAAATTTGGTCTTTGATCATTGCATAACGAGTACTGGAAATAATTTTTTATATGATACAGCATGGATATTGGTTGCCGTGAATGCATAAAACTGTGTGCAAACTATGCTTCCACAATGACCTGTTAATAAAAGTAAAATGCGGTAAATAGTTCATGCCATAAAAAACCATGTCGTTTATCCGTCAAAGTCAATTCCAACAGATCGTACCTCAACAATTCACTTCAGCATTGCGTTACGTTGCGTTACCAGAAAGTCTTTGAGAATTTCCCAAGAATTGCGTTGGTACAACACATCATTCTGATTGGTTAATAACAGATTTGACCCATTTTGGTCAAAGGATAATGTGGCAGATCAAAACATACAAATACATCATAGCGAAAAGTGTTTTTCATTTAACTTTTGCACTTGATCCAACACAGTGGATATAATGATGAGGATTTAGACTATGACTGTTCCAATAGAATCTAATATTTTTAATCTTGTAAATTCGGGTGGTACGTAACTAATATTGTAATAAAATGTGCATATTTTTGTGACCATTTTTGTTTCTTCATTGTAAAAGTCAATGACGACGCAACTAATTTCGTAATTTTATTTTCCCTCAAAGACATATCTCCCTCAATTTGTCACATGGCGAATCAAAGTTGTCATTTGCACAGGTAAGCGCCCACCCCTAAAAGAAAATCATGATTTTCTGAGTTGAGGACCCTGGGCACTAACACGGTCCAGTATGGTATCAACATAGCAGCAATGACTAGGTTTCGATCGAGATGAAAAATGGCAACAGCATGGTCATCTCATTGTATGCAGATTAATAATATAACAGTGTTCTCCCTAGAGATTTTCCATAGAGTCGTGGATAATTTGCATAACAATTAGCATTTAATTTGCATAAAAAATAAATAAAACAAAACCATTTTTTTCCTATTTATTTTATGTACAATCTATCACTCTTTTGTATCCAATAAAAGTGCACTGCATGTTTAGTATTGCAAATTTTCCACAGAAACTGAGTTTTCTGTTTCTTTGCTTGGCCCATAAATCAGCAACTTTATAAAACCCTTTAAATTAAACATTGGGTTGATGATTCTCAGTGCTTGTCTTCCGTTTCTATTGTTTTCCGGTTAAGTACAACAACTGGAATACATAATACTTGCGCTACTATGTTGGAGCATGGATGTACATCCATGGTTCGAGCAATAATAGTTATTCTGGCTGAAATGATCTATCTTCTTTGTCATTTTTTTGTTTTTCGATGTTGTCTGCTCAACACAATTGTGAACAAATGGAGACAACAGAGGTCTGAATTATGAATCATTGCCATTGTCATACCACGTAAAAATTGAGGCTTTTCTTCCAAGAAATAACACATCAAGTGTCACATTTTTTGATTAGAATTCCTGGTTTCTTGATAAATATATTATTTTCCGTTATGCTTCACCTAATTCATCCTGATCTGAGCATGATATGCGATCCGAGTGGGAAGTTCACGCTCACTGGATCTTACGTGGGTGACGCCATCTTTGATTCACAATCACGAGGTCAAAATTATTTACATCATAAATATATATTTTTTCACATTTTGATCTCAAAAAACAAATACAATGTACAATATCAAAAATACTGACAAAAATCAAAACCTAGAATAATAGTACAATTACATTTCTAAAAATATGTTTCATACACACTGGAAACATGTGGCTCTTGACCACAAGTGACTGTATCATTTGCATATGAATATACGTTTGGCAAAGTGCGTTTTACACAGGGCTTATGGCTTTGTCTTCATAGAACTGCTTTTTTTTTAAAAACGATATCCAATCAATGAGAAACAGGGGATTATCCCGGGAAATTGGCGTTAATACCATGCATTTGAAGATTTAACTAGTTGGCCAGGAAACATTACAGTCTGTGAGAGACTGAAGAAATCAGATCACGGGATAAATAATAGCATTGCGGAGGAAAGACATTGCATCGCGGGCAAATTTTGGCCTGGGGAGAACACTGGAACAAAGTTTTGACTAAAATTACTCAAATTATCAACATATCAATGGTTATTTATAATAACAGACAAATTCCTCTCTATAACCTCATCTGATAATATTATGAGGCAAGGTAAAAAGTGCTATTCATTTGACAAAAAATACTCTTGATTTGTGCATTATTTGCATGCACTGAATAAATAAATATTTCTATTAGCACAATTTAACTAAAGAGTTAATTAAGATGGGCACACAATGGTAAGTACATGCATTGGGAGTGAACTCACCTTCTGATATCTCCATCAGCTTGTTTTCGTTTATATACCTTCATAGCATCCTCATACTTGATCTTCTCTTCTGCAGCTAATGCTGTGTATTTCTAAGAACATTAATACCGGTAATTACTGAGAACAAAACTAACACTCACAACTATGTCAAACCAATTATCACTATTCATCTATTTTAAATAGTTTCATGAAACCATTACAATAATGAATACTCTGTATGTTTACAATGAAACATGAAGAGAAGCTAACTACTGCAGTTTTTATCAAATGTATTGATGTAGCTTATAAATCAAGTTTCTCACAAAGTAATTTTTGTGGAATGACTTTACAAGTCATTTAATTTGCATATAAAAAATGGATGTCTTTTAAAACAAAACCTTGTATGCAATATTAATAAAATATAGATTTATTGATCAAGAGACCATAGCATCAGTAAATATAAATCTGCAATTTCAAAAATTTAACTTGCTCCATTCTTAAGACTCATCACCTAAACACCACATTTTCACACTATAAAATTAGGGTAGTACATGTACAACAAACAAGCTGTAATATCATATGATCACCTTCTACAAGTATCACTCTGTTGTTGTACATTCAATAAAGATTTGATCAAAACAAATAATAGTCTTACAAAAGCATAAGCAAGATTTAGAGGAAAAACTTATTCAGGAAATGTGCATACATTGGTGCAGCTCTATTTAGAGTTTCGGATTGTGATCAGCAGCGTGTGCAACAGTAGAATTTTACTGATGCCACCTAGGGTAAAATTCTAATGGACACTGTGTGTTTGTTTGTTATTTAAGTGTATTTGATCTTTAGTTCCCTATAACACAAGTAAATTTAAAAATGCCGAAAACAATATGACTGACATAAAAATAACCATCACCAAAATCATAATCATGTATTTTTATTTTGGCACTAACCTTTTTTCCCTGCTAATTACATGAAAACAAAACTGAGCAAATAATTTCCTGTCCCAACACACAACAATGTTAATGCATTTGTTAGCAATGTATTACATGTTATTATCATGTGTTGTACCTTTTTATCACTCTCTGTCATCTTTTTCCATAGTTCACCAGCTCTTTTACTGATCTCAGCAACAGAACTACCAGGAAGGCTTTTTTTGATGGATTCTCTTTTTTCATTCAACCATAAGAAATATGCAGTCATTGCTCTTTTTGGTTTGTCAGGATCTTTATCCTTCTTCGTCTTCTTCTTTCGTGGCTTTTCAGACTGTTTATATAAAAATAAAAACCAGCACTGCTACTGATGTACAAACACTCGTGTTGAAGTTTTATGACTTTTTGTTTCATACATTTTTTTCTCAAATTAACAGGATAGAATTGGGACAAAAATTGAAGTTACTGTAAAATACTTTATTTTTGCTAAAGGGGTGATTCAGTGAAAATAAAATCCAGCGAATATATCGTTGTTCCTTTATTTTTCATTCAACTCTTCAAAAATAAGTGACAATAAATGCCATACAAAACACCCAAAAAATCTTTTTAGTGAAAATGAATTCAGGCTAAAATAAAGTATTTTACATGTCTCAGCCATCTGATAAGTCTATATATTTTGCTACCAAAATTGTATTAATTATTATTCAATATATAGAATATATTTTAAAGTATGTTTACCACAGAGTGAAAATCAGCCAGGCAAGAGATGTAATAGTGAAATAATAATCACTAATATGTTGTATAGGAGAGGGATGAAACTACAACAACGTCATAACCCAGTCTAATACTCTCATGGAATATGGTTTCTGTGTATTCAGCACTTGCAATTTGTACATAGAAAAACAAGTTAGGTAAGAGTGACTAACATTCAATGGATGGTACTGTCGCCTGGCACACATACGCACAAAACAAAAATTAGTTACTAGAGAAAAAAGGCATTGAAATTGAAATAAAAAAAAAACCTTGAGGATATTCAGATTAGAAAAAAATGCACAACTCCTGAAACATAATTCTTTATCAATATGCCAAGTTTCATTGATATCTGCTTTAGAATTTCAGAAAAAAAAGTTGGAAATGTAGAGATACAAGTCAAGTTGGAAATCCCAGCTTGAGACTGCACTACCACTGACGTGGTGTCTAACAAGTTGCCTGATCAACACTACCATAGTGCAAGCAACAGGAGGGACAATGATCTACAGGTGGCTTTGCAAGGTTGTGATCAGAAACCTAATTATGTCTTTTTTTAATCTATGCTTTTGTTTTCTAATGACAACATGTCAAACTGATCAAAGGATAGCCAGTAGAATGTCTGTAGCCAGAAAACAAAGAAAGGCAGGTAAAGAAAAAAACGTAGCCTTCAAGCCTACTAAGTTGCAATTGTCTTGTGATATTCATAGTCATTCACACCTAACTGAAAGTGTTAAAACATTGTTTTCAATGATCAGAATAGACAAAAAACGACTGCACTTTTTAAATTTTTAAATCACAGACCAATTTTTTACTTTTTACTTTTCCTCTTGTTGCCACCCTCAATAGAAGAAGAAAAAAAATCGAATATATCATTTTGACTGAAAGTAACAACAATTATTCAGTAAGAATTGGAGAATTGAAGTAATCCTGAAATGAACAAATCTTGACAAAGAATGTAAATTTGGTGTCTATGCCTACTTACTAGTACAATCAGTAATAAGAATATTTTACTTGTTTTATTAATAGCACATAATGGCATGTAAAATGACTGGTTTGTGTACAGTTAGAATAAGTCACTGCAAATGTTGGTATAAAAGCACTTCTATTAAATTTATGCTTTAATCAACAGCAAATATAACTATTCTGTTTCATTCATGTATTTTCCATTGGAGCATGTTTCTACCTGATTGATGTACAAATGTTCCGAATTACAGGAAACAACTACACTGTATCTTGTTTTACCTGTGTACGGTAGTTCTGATCAAAGCATGTTAGTCCAGAGTTCATGCTTTCATTTGATATTCTATAAATATTTTGTAAAAGCATACATTTTCACAGGATTTCTGTTCACTATTTTGATATCGTGAACTTGGTTTTTTAATTCATGGATTTTCCAGCAAAATAATATTAAGTTTTATTGTAATTTTTACATGTTCATGTACATTATCAGAAAAAATAGCAAAATTCATTAAAATGTAGTGCAGAAATTTGACTACATAGGTTTTGGGTAAGCTAATGTCTGATATTTGTACCAAGTTCGAGTAAAATTCCATATACACAAATCAAGATCTGTTTCTGAAATGGCAGAAATGATGATTTTGATGAATTTTTAGTACGAAAATGACTGTGCTAGCTTGTTTTGTCCTGTGCCTACTTTTACCAACAAAATAGTTTGAAGCAAGTTTGAGAAAGGGAAAATAAAACCAACTTGGCTGTCTGTTTGTCAATGAATTGAATTGCATGACAAAATTCGGCTTAATGTAACAGATAGCAAAAAAACTTCAGTCAACATTCAACCCATTATATCTTGCCATTGTATAAAATTTAAACCAAATCTGTAAAAATATCTCGTATAAAAAGCAGAATATCTGTGTGGTAAAAAAAAATGGCCACCAGTCAGGCAGTTTGAATCAAGTTTAGGTGCATAGATGGAAGGGATTTTTTTTAAACAAGGGAACAGGGGCGCAGGGCCCTCATGCCATGGCCATGCACCCCCTGACCCTGGGGAGCAGATCCTGTGACAACCATAAAATTCTGATTGTCTTCAACTGTGACATGTCTGATAGTAATTTTGGCCCCAAGGTAGCCATAGAATACTGGGGGGGGGGGGGGGGGCAAGAGGGGTAGCTGGTACAGTTTTACGGGAAATAAAATGGGCTTTTTACAATTTACAAGGACAAAAAGACGTTTTTACAGTTTACAGTGAAAATTGAATTTTGCAGTGAATTGTGTCATCTAGTCGTTTTACAGTTTCGAAAATATAATTTCCCTGAACCTTTTTTATTTGAATGTAAATTCTTGTACGTACCGGGAAA